CCATGTAATTCCTCCTCTCTAACCAAACGCCCTGTTAATTGATAATGAAGAAATTGCTACTCCAATTCGCAATAGTGATGATAAATAAATAAAAAATGAAACAAATATGGTTACATCTGCAGTAGTTACCAAAAATTTTAAAAAAAAAAATTACTATCCCTACTTAATATAAAAATATCAATCCATGTCATCTTAGAAAATTAAATCTAAGTCATCCAAATAAAAAAAAATGAACTCAAAAGATTAGTCCACATGTTCTTACATGGGGAGTAATTTTTATCTGTCCTACCTATTATTAATGGGTCAAACCAACTCTTTCTTCTTTTCTTATTTCTATTAGCATTTTCTTATAATTTTTAATTATTTTTTTTTGTGTTTAATAATACTATTAATGTATAGTAGTTTCTAAATATATAAATGTTACCTATTAATTCTAAACTTAATTTTATGAAAAATTAAATTGTAGCAACTTCAATCAAGTCTCGTTAATTAAATCCGAGACACATAAAATGGGATAGAGAGAATACTAGATATATTATTGTAAGTGAATTTATATGTTCATATTAATAAATTCTTTATAGACGATTTAAACAGATTTAATTTTGACTGATATTTTGACCTTTTAATGTTCATATTAATATTAATAATAGTGAGAGTAATATTTGACCTTTTAATGGGAAGTCCCACCATGCAATTAAATTTAATTTGCCTAGTTTGGTAGAGGGTGTGGAGGAAGAATATGCCACGTCTACAACAATAAAGACCAAGTCCTACAATTTTCTATTTTAAATTAAATACATTTTTGTCTATAAAGCATCCACCAAACTTTTATCTTTTATTAATGTAATAATCATTCATAAGGAAAATCAATTATGGGAGAATACAAACTTATGTATATACAATTTCTTAGATTTGTTTTTGAATGGGATATGATTAATCTTGGTTATTAGTTTATGGGTAATATTTGTGTGAGATCGTCTCACGGGTCTCAATCCGTGAGACGGGTCGAATCTTTGATTAATTGGTCGAATTTTTTACTTTATTAATCAAAGATTCAACCTGTCTCACGGATTGAGACCCATAAGACGGTCTCACACAAATTTTTGCCTTAAATTATTTGTATATCTGCAATATGAATATCAATGTATTACGTTAAAAAATCACAGGTTGGAGACTTTTGCACTCTATTATAAGTTTTCATATCCATTACTATGTTTGTTAACCTACTTTTGTTATCTTACTCTTGAAATCAAATTCTTTAGTACAAAACTCATTACCATTTTATTGCTCTAACCTTTTGAGCAATGAAATCAAAAATAAGAGAGAAAAAAGAAAAATATTATTGTTCATGCATTAAATATAAAATTTTAATATATATATATATATATATATATATATATATATATATAGTTATATATATAGTTATATACACATATATGTATGTGTATATATATGTATTCTTTATTTTTATATTTTTATATTTTTATATTTTTATATTTTTATATTTTTATATATTTTTATTTTAATTAATTATTTATTTATTTTGATTCTAATTCTTATATATTATCAAATAAAATGATTCCTTCTACTTAAACTCATTACCATTACAATTATGATTCCAATATTTGAACCAAACACAACCTAAGTATTACAATTCAATGCTTATACTAAAGACCAAAAGTTTACATGAGAAAATAGACTCATGGTAACTGGTAAGTGTTCATTTTTAATGTACTACATGTTTATTTTGCCATGCAATACATTAACAATGAACCAGTATCAAAACATGATAAAAGTTGATCTCGTGATCCTACCAGGAAATTGAACGGCCAATAAATTACTCTCATAGCAAGTCAAACTTAAAACTTCGTAATTATCAAGCCAATCACTTAACTGAGATTACTCTTATTAAAATCAACCTTATAAAATAAACTTGGGGATGCATGATATAATTTGCAATTACGATAACTATCGGAAAAATATTGTTGCAGTCATAAAAATTACTATCGTGAATATATTTTGTAAAAATTATATTAGATTGACTCAAATATAAAATAGAATGGCATACATAGCTATTTCGCGGTAATTAATTTATGAGTAATGCATTCTATCTCTAATTTATTTTCTTTACATTTTTCCTGGCAACATTTGATTGATTTTTTTTTTTTAATTAGTACGTGGTTGATTAGCATATTAATATCACTTAATGATTGGAGCCACATCAGAAGGAGAAATATGACTAGAAAAATTTAGAACAATCCTAATTGAGATTTTTTATTAGTTTTTGCAGTAAAAAAAAAAATTATATATATATATATATATATATATATATATATATATATATATATATATATATACATTGTATTCTTTGTTAATGGGAAGACAAACTTTAAGATGGTTTTTTCTCCTGCAATTAATGATTTTTGGTAGAAGGAAAAAAAATCGCGCACTTGCATGCAGCGCATGTCGTGCCCACGGGAGCGCTTCAAAGTGATCGTCAATTAATGTTTATCTTTTATTTTTTCTTTTTAAATTAAAATGGCCGTTGCAGCCTTGCAGGTAACGACCAACTTTTTTTTTTTTCATTTTTTTAATTTAATTTTGTTTAAATTTATGTTGTGTAATTTTTAATGTAATCTATATCTATCTATACTATATATAAAAACAAAATCCTGAAATTTTAACTTCCAGCCCAATTCTTAAAAAATCTTTCTTCCCAATAAAATATATTGATTTCTACTTTCCAGTTCGTACAATAATTCTGGGTAAAAATTATATTCTAATATTATAAAATAATGTAATACAATTCCCTTTGCACATCTATACTATATATAAAAACAAAATCATGAAATTTTAACTTTCCGTCCAATTCCTAAAAAATCTCTCTTCCCAATAAAATATATTGATTTCTACTTTCCCGTTCGTACAATAATTCTAGGTAAAATTTCTATTCTAATATTATAAAATAGTTAATACAATTCCCTTTGCACATCTATACTATATATATAAAAACAAAATCCTAAAATTTTAACTTCCCGCCCAATTCCTAAAAAATCTCTCTTCCCAATAAAATATATTGATTTCTACTTTCTCATTCGTACAATAATTATGGGTTAAAGTTGTGAAGTGTCAAAAGTTCGGCAATGCATAACTTTTGACTCGGTTATCCGTTTTGGACAAATGGTTTTCTGAAATCACGTATTTTTTCGAGATCTATCCACCGCAAACTGCCGTAGGCGATTTGGCCCACCAATTTCTTTAAAAAAAATGCTTTATTAAATAGTTTTTAAGAAAAAACTATGAGAACCTTATGTTTTATTAATGAATTTTTAAATTTTTTAATAAAAAAATTGTTTCGTGCATTATTTAATAATCTCTCTTTATAATTGGTCAAATTATTTAGTTATGGTAAATTAGGAAATAATTAATGATGGTAATGAAAATCCTAGAAGAATATTAGAATTGAATAATATTTAATTATTGTTATATAATTATTGTGACTCACGGAATACAATACAAGAATATTTAATTATGGTTATATTATTATTGTGTGCCTTATGGCCATTATATACTAACAAAACTTGAAAAGAAATTAATAATAATAATAATAATAATAATAATAATAATAATAATAATAATAATATAAGTGGTAAAAATAATATCTAAAAGTAATTAAGTGTTAATAATAATAGTTAGAATATTAACGTAAGAATTATAACATAGAACAAATCGTAATAATTAATAACTATAGTCTAGGATTAAATTTAGAATTGTCAGGAAAAATAAGCGATCTCTGGTGAAATTAACTCTTTATCGATTTAAATATTCTTAATATATTACAACAATTCCATTCCGCGCATCGCACGGGTGAAAATACTAGTATATTCTAAAGACAGAAAAAAAAATTTAATTTAATAACATATTATTAGAATTAAAATTTTATAATTATCAACTAAATTAAATTTTAACAAGTTTAAAATAAGTAATTATAATTAATTTTTAAAATGATAATAACTAACAGGGTGTGTTTTGCTCAGTGGTGGGTTCACAACAAACTTAAGAAATGATTAGAGTAATTTTAAATAGGGATTTTGCTCAGTTTTTTAAAAAGAAAAAAATCATATGTGTTATTTTTGAATAAATGGGGATGGTGAATTTTTTGGGTAATTTTCTCTTGCAGATGAAGGTTCCTTGTGGGGTTCATGGCACAGAGTGGAGAGATGAAGAGACACGGTTTATCAACGTGAAGGGCACTGCCCGCACCTGGCATGGCACATAAACACTATGGTTTCCCCTCTTTCCTTTTCTTCTTCTTTTTTTTATCCTCAATTCCATATTCTCTTTCCTTGTTGGTACGGTAAAAACCCATCTAAACTCCTTCACTATTGAGCTTGCTCTTAGGAAGAAAAGTTTTTTTATATTAAGTGAGATAATAAAGATGAAGTGGATGTTGGAGACACAAAAAAATTGATGTAAAAATCTCAACTATTGATGTTGCTCTTAGAGCACCCTTATGAGTGAAGCTTTTGAGGATTTTGGAACAGTATTAGCTAACAAATTGGAGAGAAAATATAAGAGAGAAGAAATTGGTTCATCTACAAATGAGAAATTTTGGAACAATAATAAAGTCAGTGGAAAAGATTGCGCGCTTGACAGTGTTATTATTATTCTTTGTTTTTTTTAAAATTAATTTTGTTTCTTTTTTCACTTCCCATGTATTCTCTTTCTTAATTTTTTTTGTTTTTAATGCTACTAGCTCTATTACAATGTAATACTCGAATTCACAACCTTCCAAATGGAAGTCCAACTCGAGTACCACTAGACTACATAGTCCTAATTCTTAATTATACTTATAAAAACTCCTCAAAAACTACTAAAAAAATCCTCACTATTAATCTATTATGGATGCTCTTAGGAGGAATAAGAAACATTTTTCTTAATTTATTAATCTCACCTGCCCGGCTGTTCCACCTCGTGTGAGTAAGTGAATACTTACCGGTCAACCGTCACCTCAACCAACTACAAATTCCCCATCCAATTAGCTGCTTTACTCCAACCCCTGTTTTCATATATAGTTGCGGAAAAAAAGTGTACTGCGAAGCCGTGAACAATGTCTGCGCCGCCGTGTGTCGCCGAAGTCAAAGTGGAGAGCTACGTGTTTCCGGCGACGGTCAAGCCGCCGGGCACGGCCAAGACCCTGATCCTGGGTGGCGCAGGGGCGAGAGGATTGAACATCGACGGGAAGTTCGTCAAGTTCACGGCGATAGGCGTCTACTTGGAAGCCGACGCCGTTCCCTCTCTCGCCGTTAAGTGGAACGGGAAAAGTGCGGAGGAGTTGACGGATTCCGTCCAATTTTTCAGGGACATCGTTACGGGTAAGGGCCAAAACCTGATTCCTTTTTTGTTTTAGGCAAAATCTCAGATCGTCTCATGAGTTCGATTAAAATTTTATAATTATTATATTCTCATGTGTAGCTTTCCAACTTTTAGATATTAAATTTTAATAGAAATTATTTTTAATTTAATTTTTTATAATATTAAATTTAATATTAATATACAAAATTTATATATTTAAAAACTACAGTAAAATTACTATTAAACAAAAAAAATAAAAATAAATAAATAATACTAAAAAAAATAAACACAGAAGAAAGAATTGGTTTGACTAATGAATAATAAGTAGGACAGATAAAATGAGACAAATTGAAATATACTATTTCTCATATCACAATTTTTCTAATAAATATTACACTTTCTTTGATAAATTAATTTTTTCAGCCCAAATTTTCTCATATGTATTATGTTTTTACTCATTAGTAATAATCAATTTATTTATCTTGATTTGTATTACACTTTTTTCTTTTTATCATAATTCATAAGTAACTTTTCAATTCCTAAATATTACATTTTTACTTAAAATTATTTTATTTTCATCAAAATATTACATTTTCTCTCCTAAGTAACAATGAATTTATTTTTAATTAATATTATATTTTTCATCATAATATTATCTAATGTATCATTTTAGGGGTCATATTACTATTCAGTGGTTAAAAACGCTTTCTTTTTTACTTATTTTTTAAATATTTTTAAATTTTTATTTTTGTGTTTAAAAGTATTTTTAATGTAATTTCTAAATATATACATTTTATATATAATAATGTTAAATTTAACATTATAAAAAATTGAATTAAAAATAATTTCAGTTAAATTTCATTAATCAAACTAGACACATCAAATCAAATGAAATTAAAAAAATAAAAAAAATTAAAAAAAACATTTTTATCTGAACTTGATGTATCTCATAAAATAAAATAAAATTATGACGGAGTCTCATAAGAGATTCATCTTTTGTTTTATATTCCATCAACGAATTCTAAATTGACAATGAATCATATAAGATAACGGATCTGGGTTCGTGCTGTTTAGGTCCCTTTGAGAAGCTGACACGGATAACGATGATCTTGCCGTTAAGCGGCAAGCAGTATTCGGAGAAGGTGACGGAAAACTGCGTTGCTTTCTGGAAAGCCGCCGGAATGTATGGCGATGCAGAGAGAAAAGCTATCGACAAGTTTAATGATGTTTTCAGTGACCAAATGTTCCCACCGGGCGCCTCTATTTTCTTCAATCAATCACCCCTTGGCTCGTTAACGGTAAGCCATTTTAAATCCCCATATCTCCAGTTGCAGAGCTGCTGGGTTTAATTTTCTCCGAGTAATTGAGTCCAGTCGAGATGAGACTATACTTAATAATCAAAACTTGGTTTCATTTGTCCGATTATACGGGCTTTGATATATTTCTTATACTTAGAGCCTATTCAAGAGTCACGATATCTCGTGGTCTAGCAAAAAATAAAATAAAAATTTAGTTGGATTAATGAAACTTAGCTTATAGCAATCACAATAGTAGTTTTTAGAGAGATTTTTGATATTATAATGCTTATGTGGTAGAGAGAGATAGATGATAAATGAATTTTGTGTAAGACCATCTCCAACCCCAACGCCAAATCACCAAATCAGAAAAAAAAAAAAAAAAAAAAATGGCGTGAAAAGCCCTCCAACCAACTTGCTATAACACCATTTTTTCGTGCTCTGTTTATCCGCACCAAAATTAGGTGTGGTTTTTATTCCTATATTATCCCAAGCTTTTATTTATTAATACATTTTATATATCCTTAGTTTAATTTTAGAGTTAATACCCAAAATAGTCCATCGACTATGTCGTAATTACCAATTTGGTCCTCGACTATCATTCTTACCCAATTAAGTCCTCAACTATACAAGTTTTACCCAATTTAGTCCTTTGTCAATTTGACTGTTTGTTGACTGTCAAAAGTGGAAATAAAGTTGTAATTTTACAAGTTTTCTCCTTCCTCCGCATTTAGCAGCGCTAAACCATGTAGCAATAAGCTTCGGTTGGGTTCTAAACCTGTCAGTATCGAAGTAGTGGTTGTGCATCGGATAGCCCATGAATTTGATTTTCAACGATTTTTTGACGATCGAAATCTGATCGGAGTGTATTGCTACATGGTTTGGCGCTGCTAAATGGAGAGGATGGAGAAATCTTGTAAAATTATAATTTTATCCCGACTTTTGACAGTCAACAAACAGTCAAATTAATACAGAGGACTAAATTGGGTAAGAATTGTATAGTTGAGGACTAAATTGGGTGAGAATTGTATAGTTGAAGACTTAATTGAGTAAAAGTTACATAGTTGAGGACTTAATTGGGTAAGAATGGTAGTTGAGGACCAAATTGGTAATTATCACATAGTCGAGAGACCATTTTAGGTATTAACTCTTAATTTTAATGTATTTGTATATTTTGTTAAATTACTTAAATATTTAAACGTAAATTGTATATTATTAAAAAATAATAATATCATTTGAAAGGCCTCATCAAGACGATTAAAACAAGACTAATATTGAATATAATTTAATTAAAAATAAAATTACATAAAATATAATTAAAATTTAATTTATTAAATTACAACTATATGTTATATCTAAAAACATAATAAGTGTGAATGAAAGTTATACCTCTCATTTATGTCCTTTTTTTCTGTTATTTTTTTTTATACATTATGCTATAAGAGTTGTACTTTAAAATATTTTGGACAAACATACCCCTATCGTTATAACTTTCGTTATCTTTTCCACTATTGTTACCATGCACATGCATCCACCATTCCACCATATATTTTCTTATCTTCTTCATTAATAATAATATATACACACTATATATATGAGTTAATGTTAATTATTACCTAAAATATAAATATCAAATTTATAAAAATGTTTTTCATTATTATTATTATATTATTATTATTATTTATAATAATTTAAATATCTAAAATCTAAATAAATTTAAAATTTTAATATAATGTACTAATATTGGGCACCTATTTTTTGCGCATCGCGCATAAAAAATACTAGTTAAAATAATAAAAGTATAAATATAAACTTTAATTATGAAATATAAATTATTTTAGTGTAGGAATAAGATTTGGTGTAAATGAGTTGGAGATGAAAAAATTTTGGTGTAAGAATATACTGAGAATATTCATTTTGGTGTAAAATTTAATTTTTTGTATTCAAAGTGGGATCCACCAAAAAAAAAAAAAAAATTGCCCCTTTGCCGCGTTTATCTGCAACTATTCTTTTTTTCTCAGATTTTATTTTGATTTTTTCCCCTCTTTTTCCCTTCCATCATCTTCTATTTTTAATCACACCTACAAAAATTTCTCAAGATCAATGCTGATTGGGGATGCTCTTAGCTCTGATTAAATCAAACTCTAATTTTTTAAGTTCGAATTTAATTTTATTTAAGTTTGAGCTAAGTTTAATGATTTTTTGTTTATATTTTAAAGGTATGATCAATCAATCTAGAGTCATCATACAGTAATACGGAGTACATAATAGTCAAAACATTTATTAAAAAAAAAAAATTTAGTCAAAACTTGGTTCGATTTAAATGATAAATGGAGTTTAGCTTAGCTCGGATTATATCTAAATCTAATTTTTTAAGTTTGAATTTAATTTTATTTAAGTTTGAGCTAAGTTTAATAATTTTTTTAAAAAATCTTTTAAAGGTGTAATAAATCTAGAGTCATATAATACCTAATAGTCAAAACTTGGTTTGATTTAAAAATGATAAATGAAGCTTAGCTCAGCTCGGATTAGATCCAACTCTAATTTTTAAAAATTCGAGTTTAATTTTATTTAAGTTTAATAATTTTTGTTTATATTTTAAAATTGTAATCAATCTAAAGTCCTACAATACCTAATAGTCAAAACTTGGTTCGATTTAAAAATGATAAATAGATCTTAGCTCAGCTTAGATTAGATCCAATATTTTTATTTATTTATTTATTTGTTTTTGAAGTTTGAGTTTAATATCTAAATTTGAATGAACATTAAGGGTGTGTTTGGTTGGCAAGTTTAGCACACATGTATAGTTATGAAAGCGATTGTTATTATTTGGATTTTTAAAACTCTTCTATGCGTTTAGAATGTCCCATTAATTGAAAAACACATTTCCTTATTTTATAAGAGTTTCATCCCATTATTCATCTTTAGCCTAATTATTCACATTCCGTCTTACTGCCAAACATGTAAAATACTTTTACCAAAACTCATTATCATTACCATTACCAAATATTTAATATCCATTCTGATTTCGATTTCCATATGCGAACCAAACATACACTAAATTACTCCAATTTAACTCGATTCATTACTTGAACTACATACTCAAACTTGGACTCGATCCAACGATAATTAATGAAGTTTAAGCATTCATTAGTCGAACAATCTGACGCAATATATATCCCCCCATTCACTGTGAGCTGCAGATTAGCTTCTCCAAAGACGGTTCAACGCCGGAGACTGCGAGCGCAATAATAGAGAACAAGCCGCTGTCGGAGGCGGTGCTGGAGTCGATCATCGGCAGCAAGGGTGTTTCCCCCGAAGCAAAGCAGAGCCTCGCCGTCAGATTGTCGGACCTGTTCATGAACGGCGGCGACGCCATAAGCGGAAAAGTTGGAGGTGAGAATGATGTCATTCCACAAACGGTCGTCGTCTCTAAATAGGAAATGGAGAAATGATATCTGTTTTATTTGGGAGTGGCGTCTGCCAATCTAATAAAGACTAATATTATGCATACTCTTAATTTATACGGATTACTTTTGTTTTTATTTTGTACCTATGTGGCTTGTTTTGAATTTGTTTTAAAAATATTAGCTCACACTTTTTATTACATTTTGTTTTTTCTTCCCTAAAAGTTGAATGCCCAAACTCAAGGGCCCGAACATCTAAGAAGATGTAAATTATGAAAACTCAACTGAACCACAGAGGTTAGGGTTCCCTCACTTTTGAGAGTTTGCTCCCACTCTGCCGCTAATGAGACTCAATCCCTGATCATGGGCCCGAGCATAACTCATATGAACCAGAAAGGCTAGGGCTAGATCTTTGCTTATTGCGCACAAGGAGCTCTTCTCACTTTGAGAGGTTTCTCCCACACTCGATCCCTGATCATTCTTCTCAAACTTCATCCTATGACCAGTTGAGCTGTCCATGCGGACTACATTTTTTTTTTTTCCATCACAAGGATGGTTGTTGTTACAAGACGATTCCAACACATATTGCTAAGGTCAATTCTGTACCTCTTTCCAAATGAAATATTAAAAAATCAACTAAAATTGAGATGTAAAATAATCATTTGAGGCAAATTTTTGAGTGGGTTTCACTTTCATTTTGAGTGGGGTCAAAGTATATTTGAATTCTCTTAAGCATGATGTTTAATTTGATATATTATATACTCAAAATGGATAATGATTGAATGAGAAATTAATTCTAAGGGGGTGTTTGGTTCACGGAATCTTGGATTACCTGAGGTAATAGGATTACGTCAAGAAGGTAATGTGAGATTTTAGGAACGTAAAATTACCTTATGTGTTTGATTTGGATTGTGGAATATAATATTAACTTAAGTAGAAAATAAATCTAGAAGACTTATCCAAAGACTTTGGATTGAGGAGGACAATAGGAAAAATGATGGGAACGGCTCCATCTTTGGTGGAGCTAAGGCCAATGTTGTGGAGCATGGTAAGACCTCAAGAATGCCAAGAAAGAAAAGCAAAAGCTAGGTCCGACGAGAAATATTACCAATACAAATTAAAGTTTCATGTTAAATGCTTCAACTGTAGCAAGAATGCCCTCAAGTCATTTAATTGCATGGCTCCAAGAAAGAATAATAAGAATTTTGAAGTCAACGGTGACAGAGGTCGAAATCAGTCTTTCGACTATGGTAACACAGATGAACCCCGTGGGTTCCAACCAACGCGGGTGTTATTGTTGTTGGTCACTCTATTCATGGTCACAGAAAATGAAGGGAAGCTCACTAGTCTTCTATCTACTCTGCTCAACGAAAAAGCTGTTGTTTGTTGGTCACTCACAGCTTGCTAATGTCCCCACTAGTTCTGTTCATGGTCCCAGTTGGCAATCTGCTACAATTAGCTCTCAACCTGCTCCTACTGATCCATCAAAGTCTAACTTTGAATAGTACCATTCAAAATCCGTTTCTAAAGATACTTGATCATTCTCCTTTGGTAATACCATTCATAGGCGCAAATTATGCTCTGCAACCGAATGCACCATTCGCATGGTGCATACGATGCAAAATGACGTCGTTTTGGTTAAAAAACGTGCGTTCCACTTAAAAAATAAATCAGGTTCGATTCCTGGCAATAGCATTTTTATATATCCATAAATTCATAACTATATATCCATAAATTCATAATTATATATCCACAAATTCATAACTATATATCCACAGTGAATGAATGAAGTAAAAATTCACAATGAATGAACTAAATATCCACAATGATTGAACTAAATATCCACAATGAATGAACTAAATATCCATAAATTCATAACTATATATCCAGAAATTCATAACTATATATCCACAGTGAATGAATGGAGTAAATATCTACAATGAATGAACTAAATATCTACAATGAATGAACTAAATATCCATAAATTCATAACTATATATCCAGAAATTCATAACTATATATCCACAATAATGCTATTGCTGAGAATCGAACCAGAATTTTTTTTTTAAAATGGAACACGCGTTTTTAATCAAAACGACGTCGTTTTGCATCGTATGCACCATGCGCATGGTGCATTCGGTTGCACAGCATAACTATTGATTCATAGGCATGTCCATATTTGATATATCAAACACTTGAAAGCCCAAACAAATTCACATTCCAAATGGCCCAATCCAATATGAAAAAGCCCAAAGTGAGTGCGCCATGACTACTTCTAAAGCCCAAATGGGTAAATTATCAATCGTTATATCGTGCACTAGGGAGCACAATGCATTGTGTGTCTTGCCTAAAATGACGTCGTTTTTTATGTTAAGAGTTTATGTGTATTATGTTAAGAGTACAGTTTATGTGTATTATGTATTATGTTAGATTATGTGTATTATGTTATTAGTTTAGTGTATTCTACTATACAATTCTGTACATTCGAAACAGAGAATTTTTTTAAAAAAATTAACGGCAGAAACGGGAAACGTAATTTTATTAAAAAAAAAAAAACAGATACAAACGACGTCGTTTTGACTAGGGCGCACAATGCATTGTGCGCCCTGGTGCATGATATAATTTGCCAGTAAATTACCATTGTTGGGAAAAAGCCCAAATATGGGCAGTTGTCCTTGTTTTTTTTTTTTTAAAAAAAAAAAAAAGAAAAAAACCACAAAAATTGATTCATTCTGTTTGTTCTATAAAAACTCAAAACAGGTACTATATCACTTGCTCTGAAAGCCCAAATATGAAATTTGAACAAAATGTTCAATTTGTTCTCCAAAATTTTGAAACCGACAATTTATATCGTGCACCACCGTGCAAGCACAAAACGCGCGCGTTTCAATTGCTGACGTCACTCTGTTGGGAATCATTCAAAGCCTTGTTATATTTTTGGATAGTGAGACACGTGTAAAAGTTTCCTTCATCATCTCCCTTTTATTCGCACTTCCTTAGCTGATAATGTTGGCTTTCACTATATAAACATCAATAAGCTTTAAGAAGGAACACACCAAAATCACTTGATTACATCTTCATCATCTCGTGGTCCTTCTATGTCCTTTCTATCATAAGCTCCGCCTGAGCACTAAGTCAGGTTCACCTGCGCTGTAGTTGGTGCGAATTAAACGTAGTTAGTCTGTGTAGCTTGTCGAAAGCGTAACAGGGCTCTAGCTGCACCGTTACCGGGCAAATAACGCTTTTAAGGTAGTGTTATTATAACACGACACAGACTTCCTTTTAGTCATACACCCGCAGTGTCCGTGTTTCTTAAAAGGTTTCTAGCTCGCGCGTTGACGTTGCGAACATTTTGCAACAATTAAAAGCGTTAGTCTAGCAACAGTCAACTACTTGAATCATGGAGCAGATTATAATAATTTTTTGGCGACATGGTGGTGTAGCAACAACAGAGATTAGCAGTGGAAGGCAACAGCTTCATACAAAACAAAACTGGTGAAGCACACTGCTTCGGCTTATGTGTAACATTTAAGCAAGGGAGTACACATAAATAATTATTGGGTTCATATCAGAGCTTTGACCATACTCCGACGAGGTTTGTCTCATCATATTTTAATATTACACATGCATATTTATATGATAATAGACTATCATATGCAAATGATTATTTATAACACAAGTAGTCATATATTATTGGCCATTGACCATATTCCCTTAAAACTATCATAATGGCATAATTTAGAAGATGGTTTGCCTATATGTTTGCATCCGTTTGATTATTATGTTTTGAGAGCATTTGAAACGTGAAATATATATTGTGACAAGTATTTTAGAAATCACCATTTCATATTTTATATGGTGAGTGCTTTGAATATTATAGAGAAAATTAACAGCCATGTACACAAGGATAAGTGAATTGTTATTATTCACATAGATGAGCTTTATGATTTTGTTGTGTTAGAAGTGTTGATTTAACACTACTGCTAAGTGATTAAATCATCAATCTGATTTAAAGGTTATAAATTGTGTACTTATATACATATCGAATTTATAACATTATGTGTTTGGTAGGAAATACCCCGACCGACATAATGTTACCCCGACCCTTGTGTCTTTGTCCTTTTCTTCTTGTCTTTGCAGGTTACAGGTCGGGTTTCTTGTGAAGAACCCGGTCGGAGTCTGACCGGGAGTTACCCGACCGGCAGTGTCGACCCCCGAGTGGTAGCCCTTTAGCGAGAGAGCTGATGAGGAACACGTGGCGGCTCTACGCATTGACAGGCAGGGCACCCGAGAAGGCGACACGTGGTTGCTACGTGGGAGGCATGCCGGACGGTCGGATTTGTGTCTCCGGCTCCGCGACTATAAATACCCGCGATAGCGACAGTGTGTGGGACTTTTGGACGATCGATAGGTTGTTGTTAGAGAATTTCGACCGCAGTCAGTCGGTACTCAGAGCAACCATTTAGATTGTACTTAGGGCCTTCACTGTGATCAATAAGAGTTATTTAATGGATTTCATTGGTCTCGTGTTTATTTAGTTACCGCATTACATGGCAATTAGTACTATCATTTTGGCGCCGTCTGTGGGGACCCGTGCAAGCAAGCAACGTTTGACGAGCACCCGGTCTCTTGGCAATCATGTACCCGTGGGCACAAAACCTCTTCGCCGACGATCAAGCGGATGCGGCTAGTTCATCCGATCACCACCCAAGCCAGCAGCAAGGTCAGACAATGGACCTCAATCTCAATCTCTCACCACCCCATCCGTCAAATACATACCCGGCCCCCCAGCAGCCGGTGAACTACATTCAACCGGGATATCCTCCACCCGGTCAGCAGTTCCAGCAGCAGATGCAGTATCCCGGCCAGTATGTATACCCGGCCCCACCTCAACCGTACGGGTACTGGTCCGGTCAACCGATGTACTATACATCACCGGTTGGTTATCCACCCTACACGCCTGCGTACACGGCTCCAGCCGCCGCCCCTCCAATATACCCGACTGCTCATGTAGAGCCGCAGCATCAGCCCACTTCCCGGGCTCGACGCTCGGCTCGTTCGCGGTTGGGGTCGGGGGTGCTGATGCGATGGATGTACCACGGCAGGCCCCTCAAGCACCGGAGGTTCCGACCCGAGCGGAGGACC